GTGAAACGGTTTCTGTGCACACACATTTATCTTCTCCTCTGTGGGAGAGTTTTCTGCAAGCGCTGCCTGGATTTATTGTGGCTTTGACCAGAGACGGGAAACTGGTCTATGTGTCTGAAAATGTGTCAGAATATCTCGGCCTGTCAATGGTGAGTGAAACGGTTTCTGTTCTGTTTCATGTGCACACACATTTATCCTGTTATATTAGTGATCATTATAATCAATTTGACCCACACTTGATTTTCAAACTGCGTGGATTTTTGTGAATATTTCTCATTTAGGGTCATAAATGTGCATGCAGAGTTTCGACACATTTATGTGTTTTTGAAAAGGCTGAACAAATTTTGACCTCCATTGGGTTTCAATTGCCAAAAATCAGTCAGGTTACTGCAGCCTGCCAAACCCTAAAATGTGAAAATACATATGAAATACAAAATATGAAATGCATGAGAACTTGTGTTTAAGTTTAAGACTCAAAGCTTACTCGAAATTGAAAACTTGTCTGATTGTCTGAATCTCTTTATGTAGTTGAGTTTTGCAGTCAAAAAATAGCACAACAAAAATAGCTCTGTTGAAACGAATGACTACATTTCCCATGTTTTATATTTTGAAGTCTCTGACCAGCTACAATAGAGGTTTTCTGTTTTTACTGGAGTCATTTTTCATAGTGTCGATTATTGCATGGAAACCACTGTGTACCCAGTATTTGAACACGACCTGAGCGGTTTGTATTGCTTTGTAGGTCGATGTCCTTCAGGGAGACACTTTCTATGATATGATGGACAGTCGTGATGCAGAAGCGGTGAAAGTTGTTTTGAGAGAGCAGGACGTCTCCGCAGGTGAGTGTGGTGCTCTGTCTCTCCGTGTCGTGTCATGTGATGTCCAGATCAGCTCTAATGTCGTGTGTCTCTCAGAGCGCAGCTTCGTGTGCCGCATGCACAGCTCCAAAGCGCTCCGGCTCCAGTACAGCAGCTGCTGCTCCATGCTGGTGAGGGGGCGATTCCAGGACGGCCCGCCGGACGCCGCTCTGTTTGTGGCCCTCTGTACGCCCACAGTCAACAGACTGAAGGACAGCGAGCTCCTGAGGGCCTCCGCCTGCTTCCAGACGCTCCACAGACCGGACATGAGGCTCACTCACGCCCCCTACAGGTACAAACATACTGCTCCCATCTCACATTACAAAGCTGATGTACCAATAGCATGCATTTCTTCTAGAGAGGATTGATTTGACTGGAGGACAGAATGTGGGAGCTTTTAATTGTATTATGTAATGAATGATTGTTGACTGAGCTGAAATATGTTTCCACAGTGTCTTGTTCCACCTGGGTTTCTCAGCAGAGGAGCTGATTGGTCGATCGTGGTACGAGCTCCTGCATCCGGATGACCTCACGCTCGCCGCCCGCTGCCATCGCACACTCAGTGAGTCAACACAAATATACACATCTGTGAAAACGTTTGGGCTCGGTGAGAAATTAATACTTTTATTCGTCAAGGCTGCATTAAATTGATCAAAAGTGACAGTAAAGACATTTATAATGACACAAAAGATTTCTATTTCAAATAAATGCTGTTCTTTTGAACTTTCTGTTCATCTGTGAATCCAGAAAAATAAAATGTATCACAGTTTCCACAAAAATATTGTGCAGCACAACTGTGTTCAACATTGATAATAATCAGAAATGTTTCTCGAGCAGCAAATCAGCATATTAGAATGATTTCTGAAGATCATGTGACACTGAAGACTGGAGTAATGATGCTGAAAATACAGCTGCGCATCACAGAAATAAATTACTGTTTAACAGAGATTCACATAGAAAACAGCTGATTTAAATTGTAATAATATTTCACTTTTCTTTACTGTATTTTTGATCAAATAAATGCAGCTTTGATGAGCAGAAACATTAATAAAATCTTATTGATCCCAAACTTTTGACCGGTCGTGCAGATGCCTGTAAACACACTTGATTGAACTGATGTACTGACACACATTTCTTGTTTGACAGCTGGAGATGACGGCGCTGCAGACGGAGAGATGCTGGTCCGACTGCTGTGTAAGGATCTGTCGTGGATCTGGCTCTACATATGTGTGACTATAGACAGAGCCGGAGAAGTGATCACCTGCACCAATCACGTCATCAGGTGAACATCTTCATCTTTTAATTCGTCTCTCTTCAGCAGCGACTGATTTCTCACTTTTGCTCAAACAGCATGTGAAATGTTTCTCGTCCGCAGTGAAGCGGAGGCGGTGTATCTCAAAGACAAACTCTCTCAGCGTCCCGTCCTCTCAGCTCAGAGACCGAGAGAGCGCGAGCCGCTCAGGAGAAGCTCCGAGACCAGCGACTGCTCCGGCGGCACAGACGGGGAGCTCAGGAGCGCCTCGCTCGCGGTCAGAGAGCAGCCGGCCTTCTCCACACCGCCCTACAGCCCCACTTCCTCCCACTCCTCTGACTTCCTGTCTGACGGCTACGGCGCGCTCGAGCAGCTGGCGGATGGGTTCTGTCCGTCTCAGGCATTCTCTGACCCGTCCTGCGCCGTTCCTCCTGTCTGTCTGCTCGACGCTCACCTCGTCCCCGTCTTCCGGCCCGCGCTGGACGTCTGCGAGGTTGCGGCAGACTGCGTTCTGCATCCGGAGGTCTTCGGCGTGTTTCCTCTTCCTCATGAGGGCGATCTGCTCACGCCCGAGGCCTCGCCCACCGCTGACGGACGCTTCCTCTACAGCGAGACGGAGCGGGCTGAGATCGGGACTCTGGCCCGTCAGATCCGCTCTCTGGCCAGCAGCTTCGACGCCTACAGCACGCCACGCCACCTGCAGCCTGACGGCGCACTCTGCTGGCCTCCGGAGCCGCTGCTGGACCAGACCGTCATAGACAGCATCCTGAGAGACCTGGTCTCGGCCAAAGAGCCGGACTGCGTCTGGAGCCGGAGTGCAGTCGCAGCGTTCTCAGCGGAGCACAGCATCGGCGCGCAGCAGTGTGTGTACGGCGGCAATCAGACGGCGCTTTGATGAGCACGAACGCTGACGGATCAATACATGAAAGACTGAAGTCCGTCACTTACACTAGTAACCCAGTATGGCATATTGCCATGGCAACCAGTGGCTGGAGATGTGATGAGGTTTGGTGGGAACCGGTTTCTCATCTTTTTTCAAGAATTATTTATACACCTGCAGTGTTTTATGAATGTGAAGAATCAGTCAGAGTGTCTCTTTCTGAACATTTACCAACAGTCGTTCTGTTCCGTGTGTTGCTAGTGGCTTGGTAGCATGTAAATGTAGTTTTTGTAAACGACTCAATAATAAGCTACTATGCACTTACTCATATGACAAAAACAGCGAGATCCTGAAGCAAGAGCGATGAACTGAAGCTACCTCATGAAGCAAATGCAATCACTCCAAACACTCGTTCTGTTGTGTCACTGTGTATTTATTTTCTGTGGTTTATGTTAGATTTGTAGATCATTCGAGTATGAATGTAATGTTATGTGAAAGTTTCTCTTGCGGCGTCAGCGTCACTGAATCTCTGCCTTATGTTTGCGGTCTCTGTGGTTCTCACGTCAGGGTTATCTATAATGTTTAGAGCAAACATGTACAAAACAAACAGTTTATTTATATATTCTTGCTCTTTGTTTCTATTTTTGTATGTAAAGTCAATAAAGTTGCCAAGATAACTAAAACTGTGGTCTGTTTAGTCATAAGTGACACCCAACCTCATCCTGAAACCATGTGTGTGTGTGTGAGAGAGAGTGAGTGTGTGTGTGAGAGAGTGTGTGTGTGTGAGTGTGTGTGTGTGTGAGAGAGTGTGTGTGCGTGTTTTTGTGACAAATGAGGACATAAATTTGTATAATGACAAAGGTATGACAGGTATTACAAGTGTGTGTGTGTGTGTGTGTGTGTGTGTGAGTGGCACATGGTTTTTTCACACACATATAGCTGCTTCAGTCAATAAAACGCTGCCTTTAAAGTCATATTTACAAGACCTGTAAAAGATAATAATTAATCATTTCAATGAACAGTAAACAGTGCGAATTACAGAGTTTTTAGACGATTCACTGACGTTACAAATGAACAAAAGACAGCACCAGTTACACGTAAAAGGCTGAAACCAGCTGTAAAATATAATATCAGCAGGTTAACAAATAACACCAATAACAATAAATCATATTAAAAGAAAGCCAGTTCATCCAGTTGACATTTGAGAACATTGCATTGCGTTGTTGTTGTTTAAAGACACCGACAGGTCAGGGCTGTTTCGCTAAAATAAGCAAGGATTAACGTCCAAAACCTAACAAATTAATCGGGACTAAAGCGGTTTCATAAACGACAATTTAAGATGACGCAATCTCACTAATTCGAGCCAGGCTTGCAGTCAACATAATTGCGCGAACACGCCTTTCTTAAGCAGCACTAGAGGCCGAACATGGATCTAATCGATCAGTAAAGAGAGAGCAGCTCCTGCTCTTAGAATCGTACGAAGAACTGAAAGATTGAATTAACGTTACACTGCTGCAGTAAATAAAATAAGAGAGAAAGGCTGGCAAATAATTGCTGATCGACTGAATGCGTAAGTAGCAATGTCTTCGTACGATCTAATGAAATATCAGGCACATTCAAACAGGAAAACATTTATGAAATTATATATATATATATATTTTGTTTTTGTTTGTATGTATGTATCTATTACTATGCATTTTCACTTATTTTGAGGAAACTTTTATTGAACTTTTTTTTTAAACGGCAGCAATTAACTTCAGTGGGGAGAAAAGAACGTGGCAGCAGGTGAAAATTAAATATAAAAATATTATTCAGAATGGTAAGTATATAGGCTATATAACTACTTAAGTATAATTGGCTTGATGCTAGAACTGTCTGATTACATATTTATGAAATACAGCTGCCAAAAAGAAGAGTGATGTAGCGAGATGGTCCTCACTGCAGAACACAAGATCCAGATCCAACTCCTCCCACCTTACATATACCTAAACCTACCCGTCTCCACCCCCTG